CTTTAAGGGAACTGTGCTCGTCAGACTGCATCTCACTCCACAGTGTGCCTGCAATTTCAGGATCATGTTAAGGCACATCTAGTCAGACAAACGGCTACTTCTGATGCCAGCCTCCAATGTGCTTACATGTAGAAGATCTGCAAGCAAACCCTGAAATCATAAGAAGTACTTTTTTTCTTGTATGCATTTGACTCTTTCTACCCTTTTTAAAATACACATATTTGAGGGAATTTTTGGGAGCCATATTTGTACAGGAGTTCTGAGCCTATAATCACAGAATCGTAGGGGTTGGAAGGGACCTCCAGAGATCATCGACTCCAACCCCCTACCAAAGCAGTTCCCTACACCAGGACGCACAAGTAGGTGTCCAGTCAGGTCTTGAATATCTGCAGAGAAGGAGACTCCACCACCTCCCTGGGCGGCCTGTTTCAGTGCTCCGTCACCTCACTAAAGAAGTTCTTGTGCACATATGCGCACAATCCACGTTATTTTGCAATTCTACACAATTCCTTCACTCTTCCATCCCTGTTTTTCTGAATGAAGAACCAGCATTTGCTGCTAGGAGGGCAGATCTGCCATGCTCACTGCTGCAGGTCAATCACTGCGCAGCTGAGGTGTGCAGGAATACCGCTGCTGAGAGCTTACGGGATCAGAAACAGAACATTCCGTTCTGAAAGAACCGAGCGCGGAGGCACCAATACATACTTCTGTTCAGTAGATGGTGGGAGTTCAGTCTGAAGATAAGTAATAAAGCATTTCACATGAGAATGGCACTAATGTACAAATAACAGAGGCAATTAAGTTTCTCGCTCCCCATACCCACTCCCCCACGCAAGCACTTAACAAGCTGTTTGCAGAATTATTTGCTATTCCAGCAACACAACCCGAGGGACTTCCATGGAAACCAGCAGAGCTTACATCCTGCCATGCAGAAGTCTGGTCATGACTGCTGTATTTGAATGAAAAATCTTGTGGGCGAGGCATCAAGTTCTGACTCTGCTTTAGATGTACGTCCAAAATACTTACAAGAAATGCAGCTCTGGTATTAACAATGAGAGACAAGTGGGAAAAACATAACCTGAGATCCTGGTCCCAGGAAAAGCCTTCCAGAAGCAACTGAAGGACCAAGAAGGCTGCCAGACCTCCAGGGCTCTCCAAAGGCAACAACAAAGTGACGCAAGAAAGACATGCAGAAATAAACTGAAAGTACTGGAGATGCTGGTAGGAACTTTCTTCATCCCAGAGCGCACAAAAATTACCAGCTTCCTGATTGCTCCTCATCCAGCAATTCTACTGTTGTTCAGTTGGAGAGGAAGAAAAAAGAAGATAGGTTTCACCACACTGTAAAAGTCTGCCCAGATTACAGATATCTGGAAACCCATCTGCTTGAAGATGCTGAATAGTGCACCCATGCGGGAAGAGGGAGAGGCTGCACTGCCCTAGCTGAGCCCCGCACTGCCCTCCCTCCTCCAGCAGAGGCAGCCGGAGGACCTGTTGGAGGAACTGTGAAAAACGTCTCCTGCTCAGCAGAGCCCAAGAGTCAGACCGAGGCACCAGGCACTCCATCAGAAGGAAGCACTGCAAATGCATGTTTCTCAGAACATGCTACACACCATAGCTTTATGGCTGCCGTTACCTCTGCACTTAGTCATGCTTACAGCAGTACAGAGTACTGCTCTAAGGAACAATCAGTTCGTCCCCCTCATTCCCCACACACAGCTGCTGCTGTTTCTGTTTTCCTGGAATATAAGACACTGCTAAAGCAAAACATTAGACTTGATGAAATACCCAATGAACCAGGCAGCACACAGACTCATAGCCTGGTTTTATTAAGATGCTCATTTTACTCGATTCAGAAAAAATGAGTTGTAATACGGAACTATTTGTTCTGTTTCTTGTCTAACTGCTCTCAATCCAGACAGTTATTTTGGAGTCTAGTTTTTTAAACCCTGGGAATGAGACACAGCAGTATCCAGGACAAAGAACAGCTCGCGATCCCAGAGCTTGTGACACAGAGACAGAAAGAGCCACAGACTGTACCTGCCAGCAAAATGCACGCTGCCACAAGTGCTTACTTCATTACAAATTACCAGAGCCATCAGTAAAATGCATTTGCATTTTTGGTTAAATAGCAGCATAGTTTTGTATCAAATCTTCCCACTTCATAGGCTTTCATTCACATGTTGCAACACTTACAGCATAGGAAATGACACTCAGTGTAATGTGCCAGCCTTACTTCAGCCACTAACAGCTGTTCTGTCTGCAGTTAACTTCCAGCAATGCTCCCCTTCAAACAGCACTGAGGAGAGGACTCAGAAGCCAACCAGCAATCTGTTGCTCACCTGCACTGCTTCCAGCACACCAGCTCCGCAGAACACGCAGCCACCTCACGGCTGATGGAAGCCTGTGCTGCCGGAACACCCATCACACAGCTCCCCACTGCTCACAGCACACCAGAACACAGAAATTCCATAGTTAGTTTGTCAGAAGTCACAGGAGAAAAGTCAGCACAAGGACACAAAAGAGCACCGTGCAGCTCGAGACCTCCCAGTGCAAATGATGTGCCCAGCACACCTGCCTGCCAGTGCTGAGTTCTGCAGAGATCAGAAACTGCCTCCAACAATGAAGCCATGCCAAAATCTGCATTTTTGACAGTCAGGTAAAAACAATGACCTGAACGCATCTCAACATCCAGCTGCCTGAAACGTTCATGGTCAAACCCACAAAGGTTTTAGTCTTGTATTTTTATATTTAACCATAATTAGAGAATTCTTAATACTTAATTTTACTCTGACAAAAATCAGGTGTGCTAAGCTTTCTTACTAACTTCATACAGAAAAATCCTGTAAGTAATCAAGTCAAATACCATTGAACGTAAGATGTTAAAAAGACATTCCTTGTGGCTTCAAGCCTAGATTTTACGGAAGGAGCCTTACAACAACCCAGCTAAGCTTATTTTAGAAGACTTAAGCAGAGCAGCTTTGTATTTCAATAGCTGGGGAGTTGTGCCTCAAAGTTGGAGGTTGAGCTTTTATTGCATCACATAAAGCACAAAGTACATGCAAGTTTCTTTAACTTCAGAGGTAGAAACCACCGAATATGCTCCTTGAAAAAGCACCGAAGCAGAAGTTTAAGAAAATACACACACTATTTTCCAAATAGCACAGTTCTCCAATCAAAGTTAGTGGAAATATCAGTCAGCAGTGTTGTAAGTAGCTACAGCCATTGTGTGGTTATGAAGTGCTTTTAAAAATAAATACAAATATGTCACTGGAAGTTACTGTTCAACAACATCCACACTACGTAGAAAACAGCCTTTGCAACCACGAACACTGGCAGTGCTCAGCACTGCGTGTTTGCAGCTGGACAAGAGAAAAAAGGAAAGTAGGTAAGTCCAGAACAAAATAAGTCGCTGTTCACTCAGAAATGAGGACACAGCATTATAGCAGAGCTCTCAAAAAACTATCCTGATGGTATCTTCAAAAGACACACGGCACAACTATAAAACTATGTGGAAATATAACACACATCTCCCAAAGAGCTGAGTTCAGCCCTTCACCTTTCCAGAGCCCTCTCAGAACAAGTGAATGTCTGCTGGAGACAGAAACCAACAGAAAAACTCTAAAACAGCACAATTTGTCAGAGGAAGTGACTAAGAACGCGTTGTAAAGAAAGATACCCAGAACCCCCTGCACCAAAGCTTTTATATAAGAACCATTACAAGGCCTAACAGTGATAGGACAAGGGCAGATTTACGTTAGACATTAGGGGGAAATCCTTCACCTAAAGTGGTGAGGCACCACCTCACCAGAGCTGCCCAGACCTGCAGGTGCCCCATCCCTGCAGATGCTCAAGGCCACAGATGGGTCCTGGGCAGCCTAAGCTGGAAGGGGCATCCAGCCCACAGCAAGGGAGGGGCTGGAGGGGCTGAAAGGTCCTTTCCAAGCAAACCACTCTATGGGTCTGTGACCTTTAAGGTTATTTCCATGCCAACTAACTACTCCATGGTTCTGCGATCTTTCAGGTCCCTTCCAACCCAACCACGCTGGCGTTCTGTGATCTCACTCCACGGACAGCAAAGCGCTCACACCGCCACGCAGCGCACAACGAGCAGCCAGCCATTGTTCAGTATCCACGCGAGATCCTTTAATTTCCCTATCTGCACGCCGAACCTCACCACATGTAAGGCCCCGTAACATTCCTGCGGCCCGAGGGCGGCCACAGGAGAGCATCAAAGTCAGACAGCGACGTAACCGCGCCGTCAGAGCGCCCTACGAGGAGGATTTTAATAGGAGGAAGAAAGGGGCGTGAGGAGAGGGCGATACCTCAGCGAGCGGCGGGAGGGGCTGCGGGCTCCGTTACCGGGACAAAACGGCTCCGTTCCCGGCCCCCCGCCGCGCCTCGGCCCCGCGAGCAGCGGCCCAGCGCCCCGAGCGGCCCTTCCCGGCGGGGTGAGGAAGGGGAGCGGGACCGCACTCACTTTCTCTGGGCCTTATCCTTCTTAGCTTTGGTCCGCTTCTTCCGGGCCTGCAGCGCCAGTACTGAAAGAGACAGAAAGAGCGTGAGGAGAGCGCGGGGCCGGAGGACCGAGGGGCCGCGAGGGCGGCGCGCCGCTCACCTTTCCGCTCCATGGCCGCCAGCGCCGGGAGCCCAGGGAGTCCCACGCGCCTGCGCGCCGCGCCGTGCCCCTGCGCCGCGCCGGGCGGCGCCGGGCGGAGCATGCGCGATGCGGGAGGCTGCGCGCGCCAACCGCCGGCCCCGCCCACTTCCTCCTCGCCGCTCCCGCTCGTGGCGGAGCTGTGGGGGGAAGCCGCGCCCCCTCGCTGCTGGCACCGCCCCCGCGCGCGAGCCGCAGGACGGAGTGCCGAGGGCCCCGGCGGCGCTTCCGCCAGCAGCATGGCGCGGGGCGGCAGGAGGGGAAAGCTGAGCGTGCGACGTCATCGTCGCAGTTGTGACGTCGGCAACTGACAGGCGCAGAACAATAACGCAGGCTCCGAAAGTAATAACGCCTCCTATTTATTTGCATGGACGCTCCAACACATACGGAGAGCACAATAACACTTTGATCGAGCAAATTCTCACCTGAAAGCGCTGTTTCTCATATAGTCATTGCCATTAGCTGAGTGCTTTTGCCAGTGACGAATTAGAGCTGTCCTGCCATGTCCATAAGAATCTGAACCGGCAGAGGTGACCCACTGACACCACTGCTGAGACGCCCCCGACTGCCACACTGTGCTCACAGCTGCTGCTCAGCCTCCATAAACCTTCCCCAAGCATCGATGAATGTCATTTGGTGCCATGTTTTTCACATGGAGGAATTCAGTGACACGTCCTTGCTTCATTTGCACTTCCACATCACACACGTTTTGCCCCTCTGCTGCTACCTTATGCACAGCAACAAAATGTAACAGGATACTGCAGAGAAGGTTCAACCTCTCCTGCCATACCATCAGCATCTGCCTCTGGCATCCTGGCCCAACATAATAAAATAGCAGGTGTTACTTTTGGAGCTGCTCTTGTAGCTTTGGCATCAGAAATGTAGATTGGAGTAGCCATTATAGTCAGAGAAGAATTAAATACTAACACTCAATAATTATCACAAAAAGCAACGTGGCAGCTGCTAGGCTGCTGGGGAATTTTTTGCTGTGAGCACAGACCCAGTAGTGGTCATAAAGACGTCAACGCGTTTCCCTTACAACTCCTGCCAGCTCTGTCAACAACTGTTTAACATCATGCGGCTCTCGTGCTGCCCACACAGCTGCCGCACACCTCACAGCGCACGGCTCACGGCACGACGGCCGCCCTGCGCAGCCGCGGCTCTGTCCCTGCTGGATGCCGGCAGAGGGAGCGCGACCCGTCCAGCTCATTGTTGGCAGGCACCGCACAGCGCAGCCCGGGCATCAGATACAAATATTTGCAGGGAAAAGTGGGTACCTCTGTGTGCAATTTTGGAAGGCAGAAAAATCCTCGTGTGAGCTCTGGGGATGAGAGGTTCCATTCCTCTGTCTGTTCCCCCTGCAAAGAGTTCTAAGTGAGATGCGATAGTACAAAATATGGCAATAATGAGACACGGAGAAGGATACACGCAGTCCCCGATTTCAGCCTTCCACAACCGCTGTGCTAGAAGCAGCACTGAGCTGGAGACTTCAAGCATGATGGAGCACGCTGCTCACATCCAACAGCAACCATATAAGAAAGTTCTTTCCTCAAAGGAGTATAAACACAGTATAAACAGACAACAAACACCGCTTCGAGTTCAGTATATTGGCTACCTGTTCCTTTTGTGGGATCTACTGTCCTGTATTAGCATTGGGACTCCTGCAGCTGGTCCTATTAGTGCACGTTCACACCTTCTGTGGCCAATGCTGCACATCACACTTCAGTGAATTTGGCCCACAGAGGGGTTCTGAGCCAGCCCTAGGCCCAACTACAGTCAACTTCCCACAGCCAGCCTGGCACTCATTTTTAAAGCAGAATGAATGCCACCAAATTATGCCCATACACAACCAGTTTACCTGGTCCTTCCTCATAGCTTCCACAGTGTGACACACTGCAGCCTGTTGCCTAAGAACTGCTCCTGCCACACTCTGTGCAGCTCCTGAGGCTTCTCTATCACTTTCTGTTTTCTGCAGCCATGTGTGTACCAAAGCAGTATGTCAATAAAATGCCAACAGGCAGGGCCAGCAGGCTGCACATACTTTGCATTTTGCATGGTGATGTTCTGGGATCTGCATCCTCTAATTCAGCGCAGTGAGAAAGCTGCCTGGGACCCTGCAGCATGCCCTCCTAGGAAAATGTCATGGGTTTGTACTGGTTCAGAAGGGCATTAAAAAGATGCTGTCTGCACAAAACAGCTGCATTTGTTGCAACTAGATCAGGCGAGAACATCAAACTGCCTCCAAAGACACTACTGCAGGCAGGCCTTTGAACTCTGACTTCAGAGGTACAGGTGGAGTCCTCGGCCATAAAGTACGTGCTCTGTCACTTCACTGCCTGTGTCCACGGATTTCTGCTTGGTGAATCACAGAAGCATTCTGTATGCATGCAGGAGCTGAGGCACTGCACAGCTGTATAGGAAAATGATCAGGTTTGTCTGAACTTCCTGTCAGCAAAGTATTTGTTTTGCAACAACAATGCTCATAATTTGAAAACTAACATGCTGACGTCCGAGTTGTCCCCTGGTGTTCCACTCTGCAGTCACATGGTAGGAAGGAAAAACACTGAACTCTGCCCAGTAAGCCAACAAAAAACTCAAGTCTTTGGTCTGTAGTGGAGACTTTCCATAGTGCCAACAGCTACGAACGCTATTTCACCTTAAATCAAGTCTGCCATAGCAGAGCCAACAGAATCTGGAAATGAGGACTATGATTTTCATGGGTTTTGTGCTGTGTTTTGAACAGAGCTGAGAGGAGCTTGGCATGAAGCCACTGTCCAAAACAATGCAGGGAAGCATATGTGGTTTGAAAATTACTCGATACCATTTGAGCTTTCAGTTTTCCTATCTTTCAATCCAAACGATATGAGGGCTCCAGCACTCAGTTTCCTCCACACTAAGTAACTTGGCACAGTTCACCAAAATCCTTTACCACTGTAGATCACACATACAGAACTGCAGCTTTAGAGTCAAATGCTGTCCCCTCATGTAAAATTAGTTTTACCTGTGACTCTCCACAAGGGCAGTCTGTGCCACGGAACAAATAAGGGCATGGCAGAGTCCTGTGACATACACTGCTGATGCAGTTGAACACCGCTGCTGTCAGTACAACCCTAGCTTAGGCTGATGCAGAAAATATGAGTAAGCTGATTTTTTTTCCCTAAGCGTTACCTATATCTTAGTCTACAATTTTTTCTGGCTCTTCAGAACAAAATAAATACATTCCTCCGTTCTTTACCATTTCAGTAAGAGACTGCAAAGAAAATGTAATTAAATTTTTTGTTTACTGGGATTTTGTTCTGGTAAATCTGGTAAACAGAAGAAATACTCATGTGATGTTAGTGCTGACAGTATCAACTTCAGCAACTTGTTGAGCAGCAATAAGAAAATGCTTTCCTTTGAAGCTCACATCACTCTACACACTCTGAAGATAATGAATCTGCCTGCATGTAATCTATTCAGATATGGCAGATGAGTTTTACTTACTACCAATACATAAATACTATAAATAATAATAAATAAATAAATAAATAATAAATAAATACATAAAAAGTGCTCAGTTGCAGCATTTAAACCAACTTCTAAAGAATTTCAGAAAAGATGCACAAATCATTTGCTAGAATTCACCAAAACTAGGAATTCTCTTGTACATTGCTGAGAGTATCCTATCTATTTGAAAATAATTATCCAGGTGTTCCTTTTTGATAAGACCACAGAATTACTGTAGGCATTAGTCAAGCTGTCTAAATATAAAAACAGGAGAAAAAAAAAAAGAGCATCAAATACTGATAAGAATGGCCACAACTGCTGCTTAACTGTACCTTTCTTCCTTCTACTGAAATCCCAATTCCCCAATAGTTGTAATCCACATGTTGCTGTTATACTTCCATTCCTTGTCCCATGCGAGGTCCTAGAAATTCAGTTGAAGGGACAGAGTTTCAAACTGCAGGTGAGAGCTTGACTCTGCTGCATTCTGGGCTGAGTATGAGTTATCTGATATTGGCTCTTCACGCAGGAGTTTGCTGTTAGGCTTCCTTGCAGAGAAGAAGCCTCCATTCTTCTCCATAAGCAAATTTATTTCCTGAAATGTACACAAACATATTACTGTAGGCCAAGGGTGGCCAGTCTGCTGAGCCAGTCATGTTCCCATGCCAAGGCAAAATCATGTGAGCAGCCAGAGGGGCACGCTGGCATGGGAGCACAGGGCAGGTCATATTCCCAGCTGCCAAGGAAATGAGTTGGCAGTGCTGACATCACCCCACTGCTGTGGGTCCCTTCTGCACACCCAGCCCAGCATGGTCTCAATGCACACTCCTGCGGAACCACTGTCACCTCCTGTATGGAAGCAGCTCACAGTCTGCCCTCCACATGCACTAAAGGGAAGGTGGTGAATATGAACTGTTACCTCCATTCTGTGAAGGCCTTTCTACGGGAGAGAGTATCAGGAAGGTCAATAACCTTGTGTTAGACTATTCTGTAGAGTGCTAAGATAAGAGAGGTAAAGAAGCAGAACAAAAGAAACCTGTTTCCTACAGATTTTGATAGTTGTTTTTTTTTTCCTTCATTCTTCCCTTGCTCCTGGCAGCATGCAGAGAACGATTACCTAAGGTTGGGCTGTTTCCCAAGGAGGGGCAATTAATGGAATCTATGCAGAAGAAGAGCTTTTCCTGGAACTTGCAACTGTCTACCCTGTTCAAACTTGGCAGAGACATCTAGTGAGCTTAAAAAATTATTGCAGAGGACGACAGACAGAAAGATCACGTGCACAAACTTCAGTTTGTTGGGAAATCAAGTCAGTGCTGTCCTTCACTTCTCCAACCTGCCCCAAGGAAGCTGGTGCAGTAACCTCTGGAAATAAAAAGCTTGGAACTTCGGCTCTGCCCTGGCAGAGTCCTTGCCCAATGCAGGAAATGGAAACTGTCCAAAATACAACAGCAATTCCCTACTGCAAGACAGAGCTGGATTCCTTTCCAGTCTGAATGCAAAGTTGTCTTTCCCCAGTCAGGGACAACAGGACTCTGTCCATTGCGAACAACCAAACAACTGGAAAATTCAGAAGAACATCTGCTCTGCCTTATTTCCTCAATCACATCACAAGACCTTTAAGTTACTGACAGAATCATTTAACAACAGGAATGCTTACATGTAAGCTAAATACTCTACCATCTCATCTTCAGCTTGTGGCTTTTCAGCATGCTCTTCTGCAGTAAGTTCTATCTCATCTGGCTTTTGATGTCTCGCCAAAGCAGCCAGCAGAGCATCGTGAAGAGTTAGAAAGAACATTCCTTTGGTGACACAGCTGTCAAAGAACTCATTCTTCTCAAAGGCTGCTATCACAGAGGCTATAAAAAATGGGAGAAAATAAACAAAGCAGCAAAATTCATACCAAGCAGTAGAGCTATAACATTTCACTGCAGTTTAAAACTTATCCCCAATGGTAAATCAATATTAATAAGCAAATGCTGTACTCACAATGGCAGCCAGCTATAAGGACTGTAATGCCGATATTGAAAAACATATGGAAGATCTGTGGAGAGAATTCGATATCAGCATAGAACAACTCTGCTTTATACAAATGCTCTAGAAGTTCAAACACAAATGGGAAAAGAACTCCATTGTATGATTTATCCCTGAAGAAAGTCCTTATTCCAGTCTCAAACCAAGATTCTTAGCTCAGAACTAAATAGGCAAACTATCAAAATCTTCATAATGCTAAGTGTTGCCTCTTCACTTGAACAAAAGATTCTCATAAATACGGGCTAACTCCAAACATTTCTATGTACACTGATGCCACACTCACATATAAACAACTTTTTTTTTTTTTTTTTAAAGCAGTAAAACATTATTTCAGAGAATTACAGAACTTCAGAATATGAAGCTAGAAGGAAAAGGAGATAAGTCCAGATTCCAACAGGGGAGTCATTTAATAGATGGCAAATAAATCTTTAAGGACATCAGCTCAGTCCACAGTTCCCAATAGGTTGTAGATCAAACAGAAATCTTTGAAGATGAGCTACAGACTTTGAGGGAGTTGAGTAAGAATCCATCTGTATCTGCCTGAGATGCACAGCTACATGAAATTTATTTTTGCTACATCTGTATCTCTATTGGCTAGGATCCCTGCTTGAAGACTAAAAACCTCAAGACATACATCAAGGAAAAGAATATAAAGGCATTCAGCAATACAAATAAAATAATTCTAAGAGAAGACAGGAGGGAATCGTGAAACTGACAGTTCTAAAAAAGGGGATTTTTTTTAAGTGTCCAGCTAGAAGAAAAAAAGAAACAGCCAAAATTGAAAGAGCAAATTAGACCTTTTTATAAATATAGTTTATAGTCTAGCTTTAGTTTACACAATTGTAGGACTGGAGATAATGGATGACAGGTTTTAGCTTGTCCTTTGTGTCGATAACAAGGCTTTAGTTCTTGAAAAAGTGGCCTCATGGGAAGCTGCCAATTTCCGAAAATAGTGCACTTGAATGGGTCAACTGGAATATGCTCAGTGGAACACATCTGGCCACGCACTGGGCAGCGTGGGCTAACAAGAAACGTGTGACACTGGGTAAAGTTTAGGTTTCACACGCAGTTAGGTTGCTTACCTGTCGTAGTAAGTCTGAACCTTGCAAATCCACAAACTGGACCATACTGAAGTCCAAAATAATGGTGTGAACCGGACTTGGCAAATGTACTGGCTGTTCTTCCTGATCTAATTGTGCTGAGGTATTACCTACTGCAGAGCTCGGTGAAACACCAGCTTGTTTCCCTTCGTCCTCATTTTTTCCAGCCTGAAGTTGTGTTTTAATGCCTGGAGACGCAGACTGCGCATTAGCTGCTCCCAGCAAGAGCATCCCACAGTTCTGTCTAACTCCGTACTCTGACCAACGTACCAAGTTAACTGAAGATGACGTGGAATTACTGTCTACATGATATGACTTCACCAGTTTCTCTGTATATGGTATCTAATATGGAAAATGGAGAGGAATGCATCAGTGGTTAGAAGTAGTAGGCCTAGGGAGTAGGTTATTTTTTTCCAGTAAATAAGCACTGTAAATTGCGTGATCTCTCTTCTCTCATGGTAAAAACACATCTGAAGTAACTCTACATACAGCAGAAAGCCACAAAAGTATGCAAAGTAGCAAGTGACTTAGCCAAGCTTCAGGTATGGTTAGCAGTGCGCCTTCAGCTGCTGGCTGGTACCAGCGGTACCCAACTTCCACACCAGGGTACATCAAATATTTCTACTACTCGTTAATTCACCTGGTACGGTGAGCTCCTATTGCTTTATCACATACAGCCTGTATGAAGAAAAACAATGATTCTATTTGCTTAATTTTAATCAGTAATTATATGCATATATATATGCTATATATAAGCATTTACAGGCTTTTAAATTCTAGCAAGTTAAGACACTGTGCACGGTGACAGAGAAATAGGCACCTCAGACAGATTAGATAAATATACTTCTAAAGCTTACCCGAGGTGGTGGTAAGGGTGGATCACAGACACAAGAGCATCTAAAATCTTTGCTTTCCACTGAAATGTCAGACAGATTAGCTGAAACTAAGGCCCTAATTTCATTTGGATTTAGAGGCACTGTTTTCATGTCCATCTGAAAGACAAAAATATTTTTACTCCAGGGATAATACTAGCTTTTAGAAGCTTTATCTAGCTGAAAAAGTGGCATTTACCTTGTGTAACAAGTAATTTTTGAAGCTATTCATATTTGCAAAAGAAATGGAAGAACAGCACTGAAAGATTTTGACACCATCAATCTCCATTGCCTTCAAAACAAAAGTTGGATCTGTGAGAGTTGTACTTCGTAGGAACAATTTTTCCCCACCTAACCCTCCATGCAGTAGACTGCAAGGTGATGTTCTAAGGACAAAGTAACACTGCTGACCACACTGCATGCTGGTAGGAGCACTGGCAGCATGGACCAATAACGTACTCATCTGGAAACATCAATCAGTTCTTCCTGTTTTAAAGACCTCCAGCAGATCTATCACTGATGACAGTCGGCTGGTATAATATAAAACCATCCAAATTTGATACATAGTTTTATATTATACCTAATGCTCTTTGCAGAAAACATACATTACATCACTCTTGTATTTCTAACCTTGTCCTCATTTGATTTCTGCAAATCCATCAGCATAGCTTTGGGAATGTACTCAGGTGGCAAAGCTCTTTACTACTGAATTACCCAATTTTGTATGGTTCCGTCTTCTCAACAGTGTATTACAAAGGCCCGTGCCCTACTTTACATCCCATCACTGTAAGAATCAGCAAGTCAGTCTGGCAGACAGTTACTGAAAATGTGTTGTGTGGACACAACCAGACTGAGAAAAGCAGGTAAAACACCAAACAGTTCCGTAAATGTTCCACCACTGGGACAGCACTGACTGACACAGGGAGCTCCATGGGGCACAATCTGAATCACTTCGCACTACAGATATTTAAGCATTCTTCAGTTTGAAAGTTTTGAACCAAGTGAACTGAGTCCAAATGCTCATTCCCGAAGGCACTTAAGGGAAGAAGCTAGATTACAGAGAGGTGGAACATTTGTTTTTTGTTTCCTCTTACGGCTCTGCAGATGGATAAACTTCTATAAATATTCGTGTTTGGAATCTGTCCCAGCTCCACCATCTTCATTCTGAAACAAGATGTTTATTAGATTCTCACATAAAGCAGAGGAAAAAAAAACTACATTCCCAAAACCTTGATCTCCATTTCTAAAGTTACTGCTTTGGGAAAGTAATAGGCAGATTCCAGGATGACCTGACCAAAGTGTTTACAAGCACGAAACTACTTTCACATTGTTGTATGTGCAGCTATCTCTAAAACATCAACTCTAGTGAGTATTTTGCTCTAGGAGTTACAAGTACCTGTGTGTCCTGATGCTGATTATGAAGAATGCAATTGCCAGGGCGATCAGTAAACCAATATCAAGACCAAGACAAAGCACTGCAGCAAAAGTTCCAAGCCAAATAGCCTTTGATCAAGAGACAGAGAAAAAGATATAAAATGACCTCCAACTCAGCTCCAGTATTTGCAAATTAAAGAGACTAAAAAGAAAAAAGAAAAAAAAAAAAAAAAAAGAGCTAGAAATGGTAACAGTTGAAAAGCCTAGCTGGCACCTTTCAGCCACCCAGTCCTGAAAACAGTCACACAGAAAGATCACAGGAAAGAAGTGCAGGACCTCAACACACATTAACTCCGCTGCAGTTACCGACAATTTACTTTCCTTAGCCCTGCATTTGCAGATACACAGTGGCAATACACATACCTCCACAATTCTGGCCCACTCTAAAGAACAAAGAAAAGTATTTCTTCCTTTAAACACATTCCAGTTACTGTTTTTTTATGCCACTTACTAAATGATACTTATCCTTTCTCCACAGGGTAGGAATGTCCAGAAGTTTTTCAAGAAAAGGTAGCATGTTAAATACTACAATAGCAGCCAGCACGCTCTGTGCAAATAAGAAAAAAATGCATGTTATTTATTGCATCTGAGATTTATTGCACACACAACATGATAAGGAACAGATATCCAAGACAAACTGCTTAAAATTTAGATCTTATTTATGTATTTTTTATAAGTAAGTATAGCAGTTGTCAGACCTGCAAACCAACCTATCTTATGTGATTTCACAATTACTTCTGCCAACGCAACTGGACTTTCTCTTGAAATGCTTTGTGTGGTTTCTATTGCAGAGCTCTTCAGTGAATCCCTGTGCCTCCTGCAGCACCATGACAAATGACAACACTATCTACAGAATGGAGCTGCTGTATCAATGAATGGTTTTAATTAGCATGGGCAGTTCATTTACAGATTTGGGAAGTTGTTTGACACCATTTGTTGAAAAAGCACACCTTAGCAACAAAAAATGGGAAACCAAAAGTGAAATACAACATTTAAATCACAGATCTTGGCAGTAAACTTTCAATTCACTTCTAGCCAAGGAATTTTCATAACAGTCAGTTATGGGAGAGAGTATGGGAGAAAGTATTAATTTCCTAATACTTGACCATGCTGAAATTTAGGAGAATTTAAAGTCATTGTTTTGGTTTAGTCTATCCCTTGAAACAATGAAATGTAGAGAAAGATACAACCCCAACTGTTAGGATAATCTTCACGTTATGCTTTAAAAGTAAGTAGGCTGCCACCATAACTATTACAGGTTCACTTACATTAGGTATCATCTGGAAAAAATGTCCTAGTTTCAATGCAATCACCAGCATTATAGATGCTCCCATCAGTGCTGCTATCTGAACAGAGATACTTTATTAGAGAGGCCTTTCAGAACCGATTCCTAGTCTTCTCTAAGCAAACAAGGTATAGTGCTTGTAACACCATCTAATAGAAAAAGCAACCAGGAGACAAAGTCCACAGGTGTCTTGTAGTGGGCAATATGGATTCCAGAATGCTCATGTCAAAAGGCTTCTGTAGACACAAATTTGTACTAAATGGGCTATTCTTATGTACAACAACACAGGATTTTGATTTGATAGTTTAATTTGAAAAAGAAGATATTTCTCTTGCAAGTCAGCCTTAAGAACGCCATCCGAAATCCAGGAAGAAAACTCTAACCCCAATGTGGTCTTAGAAAGCAGCATTCCTTTATTCCTCATGATATGCACTGTGCGACTTGACAAACAAGGAAGCTCTCTCAGAGTTCAGGTTCTACATTTAAACAGTTAAGACACCCACATGCAGTACACTGGCACAATATTCATTCTTTCCCAAGGATGTATTAACATATGCTAATGTCCCTTTGGGCCTGCTCAGCGGTATCTAGAGTGGTCAAGTGCTCACCTACTTCTTTCCTGCTTTCCACTATCAGCTTCATGGCTGAGACCTTTGACTCCACCTTCAGCTGCTTTTCCCCAATTTGGAAAATTTCCATTGCTTATTGGGCCTAGGGAGCCACTATTAAAACAATATATGTGGAATCCAAGAAAAATGTCCCTGCACCTCCTGGGTGCAAACAATGAAAGTATTCTATTATGTGCCCATTATTGAGGAAAACAAAACTGCTCACCCACTAAATTTGAAATTGAAAGTTTTAGAACTACTGAACTATCACTTATGGATTACTTTTGACGAACTAATATATTGACTCTTATACTAATGTACTAATCCACATTGATAACAAACCAGCCTATATCAGGCACAAATGTTTTATTAAATCAAGTTACTTCTACGATGCAGTGAAGCACGTACAAATACTCATAAGAAATATGTTAGAATCTTCCTAAAAATAAATAATTTTTAGAAATAATTTTAAAAAAAGATTAAGGTCATAACGTCCAGTACTAAAAAGTGCAAAACAATTTTCAATTCTGGGCATATTCTCTAAAATACAGTTTACATGGTATGAAAGCATCTTATTCTCTCCATAGAATTCTGGCTTCCTTAAACACACAACATGTCCTTAATATCCTACAATTACAGTGCATAGCATAGAGAGCACAAATTCATGCTGCATGGGAATATAACTACTTCTCACAAACTGCTTGGATGAAATGTCAGCCTATACTCAGTCTAGAATGATTTTAGTCTGGCTCACCTGGGTTCTTCCACCCGCCTTCTCTTGGATGACAGTTCCAGAAATAGCACAGCTGACAGCAAAGCTTCTGAAAAATGAACTGCAAATATTGCAAAGCCCCACAGCTATTAGTTCCTGTGAAAAAGAAACAGGAGGAAGTAGAGAGAACCCAAAATTAATGACTTACCTAAACAGAAGTGGCTTAAAAAGAAGTACATCTGCTCACACTTGCTGGCTGTCCAGCTCAGAAAATTTTCTGGAAACAAAGACTCTCATGGTTAAATTTCTCTCAAAAGCCACAAAGTTTTCACAGTTGAGGATCTCATGGACCCAAAAGTCAAGTTCCTGTTTACAAAGTAATCCACAAGGAACTCAAAACTTCCAAGCTAATGCACAGTATATCTCAGTACACAGTATAATAGAGCTGACACAAGAACTCAATGGAAAAGACATTCTCTTTGTACTTATCCTCAAAGGCTACAGGAAGCCAGGGCAGCTTTCTGGATTAATTCCTTTCTAATGAAGACTCAAAGCCATCACAACAAGTTAAACAGGGTACTGGAAACCAGTTAGTGCTTACTCAATCTAGCACACTGGAAACTAACAGCTTCAGCTTAAAAGGCTCTAAGAGCAATCAGCCTAGGCTGAGAATTCACTAAGTTGACAGACACACATAGACAAGAACTACAGCTGTTCTGGCCATTTACAATTGGAGCTATTATATTTGTGTGCTATTGTAAGTCCCACAGATTCAGGAGAGCAGTGGCCCCCGGGGATCAGTAGCAGCAGTGTGTATGAACCCCTGGAGCTACACTAAGGCCTCTTGGTCAGTATGGTCACTGGACATATTTTGGCCTTCACACATAGATGGCATCTGTCCTTCCACAGAGAATCAACAATAACAAGTTGATACAAAACAATCAGCTGGCATCACTTGTTCTCTGCTTGCATTTTTACCACTACCAGGTAACTAGTGGCTTTACTAAGCTGAATTCAGTTTGCTTCTTGGCCTAAGAAGTATGTGTAGCTTTGTTCTCACCTGACTGCTGGAAATGCTGTAGTTATGAAGCAAAGCATACTTCTCTCCAATAAAAACAAGAAGGAAGCAGCTTACAATAGCAAGGGAGAAAGCATGCAAGATGATCTTGCTCAGGTTTGATAAATCTGGCAGTGTAGGAGGTAGAAACCTACAAGATCAGAGAACAGAAAGGTTTAAACCTGCTCTGGGCTCTGTGCAGTCTATACCATACCCAGGACCAACATCAGAGGCATCTTCTGCCACCCCACGGGAGATGTCCTGAATGTGTAAGGGTTTGCTTCCACCTCACAAAAAACACAAATTCCTTCCCTCTGTGCGCTAATAAAATCTGAATCTAATAAAGAAAACTGTAGTTCAAATTCTGCATATGCTCTGAAACGAGGAGACCTCAAAGCTCTCTTGAACAGTTATTCCTATAACTGTGCTTCCCGGTAAAAATCAGCCTATGTCAAATTTCAAGAACAGACTGAAACACCACTTTTGTGTCTCAAAAGTATAACCTCACTAACAGCAGAAATAACTAACCTCTGAGGAATCATACTGAGCACAGCACTGCTAGATTCAGCGTGAAAATGAATACAATTGGCAATAATGGTAGCTGTGATGATCTGGGAAAAAAAACAAGAATATCACAGATTATAAGCATTTGCACCTGAACTGCACACAGCGAATCTGTGGAACAGATTCAGTAAGTTACTCCTGCAGGAGGATTTGAAGGACCTAAGCACACATTTTATTCAGTGTATAAGCACCGCAGCATTCGGAAGTAATGTATTTTTGTGGGGTTTTATCAGTATATTATACAAATACTTCCTATTCGCTAATGTCTACAGTGTAGTAACATCTGATAAATTCTATGCAAAATGTGGACTCTTCTTCTTATTCCAATTTTCCCATTAGCTGTCTGTGTTACTGTGCTCTGTCACAGGCTTTGTCCCACAGGCCACTGTTAGATAAGTGGCAAATGGCTTCAAGTCCAGCATCAGCAAGGTTTTCCTTAAGAAAGGTGTTCCTTAGAAAAAGACGCTATCATCTCTTAGACTCCCAGACTGTCTGCAAAAGTCAGAAATTTCATTTCAATAGAAAAAGTTTTGATCTAAAAAAAAAAAAAAAGTCAATTCTTCCATTTTCTAGGAAAGAAAAACATCAGGAGAAAACAGCAGCAACAAATATTACTGAATTTTCAGTAAGACCTGCCTTTGAATGTAACAAAATTGAATATCTCCTTCCAGCAATTCCAGACCGAAAAAAAACATAACTTAATCGGAACTCCGAACCTTCAAGTCCGCAGTTCTACTACCATCATAATAAAGATTAGAAATAAAAAAAATCAGTCTGGAACATGGTGGTTTCACCTCTACACAATGCTGCTTATTCATGCAGCAGTTCACCGCGATTTGTGCCCATGGCTTTCTGTAGGCAGAGATACCTTATTTCCACAGTAGCAGGGGAAAAACTTAGGAAGTTCTCTGGTGAAAGAGACAAAGGCTGCTTATGGCACTCAGAGCCGGAACGCAGACAAGCAACTCCTGAACTGCTCAATTATCACTACAGCATTGAGAACACTCACCAAGAGAAGCTCCATTGGAAATGCAACAGGACTATGAAGATAAGTTATCCTGATAGCTTTACTGATTTGTAGCATGGCCATGCTAAGCAAAAACAGCAGTATGCTGGTGGCATTAGACTTTGGGAGAGCCAGGAAATAATAGAACACATTCTGAAAAGGAATCATCATAGAGAAGATCAGAGGCAGATACTGCAAGTATTTTTACATTCTAGAAGGTTGAGACCTGTTGCCCTCACACTTTAACTTATCCTTTACTGCTACGACAGTACCTTCAGCGGGAAGAAAGTTGCTAAGAGCAAAACAGTATTTTAAATGGTCTGTTGAGAAACACAGCCACAAGTAACTCAGATCTAGTTCAATCACTCTTATCTCCTCTACACCACCTTTCTCTCTACTTGTCTGTCTTTTCTTAAGAAAATTAGGAAGACTTATTTTTAACTTATCTTTAGCTAGGAGTCTGCTGCATCTTTGTCAGATATGTCATAGATACTGTGCCCAACAGTTAGCCCACAATGATCCATGGAGGAAAAACATACCTCTTTCCCTAACCTTTTGCTCCAGAATGATTACAGACATGCTGAAAATGATAAAGCTACATAAGTAATTAAAAATACTCCCTTTTCCTCTTGCATGTCATGCAAAAATATCCATTCATCATTCAAGACAACAGAAAGACAATGTAACCACAGCTGAGACCTGCAGAAATATCCCTTAGCAACTGAGATATTCAAATTGCCTTCAATTTTTGTTACTGTTCTCTTCTTTATCCCACGGGAAGCAAGCATTTATTTATTTTTTTCACTAATAACGAATTTACTCACATAAAAAATGTCTCGAGAGCCCTTATGGAAGTCAAGCACAATGTCAAAGATAAAAGTGAACTGTGATACAATGACAAGCAATGCTGCTGCAGAGAGGTAAGCATCAATGAGAGCCTTTGGCAAGTATGCTGTTACAGACTTCAGGCAGAAGCAGCCTAGCAGTAACTGTATGGAACAAACAAGAAGTGAGGTGCAATATAATTATCTATGTCTAACCTGCCTTTCTTGTTCCCACATTTGAAAAGCACGACTTTTCACTGCCATACTTGATGGATAGTTATTTGAAAAGCTATATTCATTATGCACAATTAAGAAGGATGCTGTCAAACTAAAATAGGAACACTTCAGATCAAGTGTGTGTGGTTATGCAGGACTACCTAAGGGTCTTCATGTTGGAGAATTGGTCGAAAAAAGAACAAAACAGTTGGCCAATAAAATACAAAAGTAATTTACTTCACGTACTGCTAAATTAATCAAGGACACACAAATCTGAACCTATCCCATTTTTTCAGACATCATGAGAAGAGGCAGACCTTCATGTTCCATTTTCTCCAATGTATGTATTCAAGTGTGCTGAGCTTAGAACTTGTGAGAACACACAAGCAGTCTCACTTCTTACATTTGTACAAAGATAAACATAAGGACACATCAGTAAGGACATAACAGTTTCATCTTCTACCTGAATTATGCCAGTCATAAATGTCACTGACGCAGTGAGTGCCAAGATCTCCACGTAACCTTTCAAAAGTGTAGGGTCTGAAAAATTGACCAGTGAACTGTTAAAGGACAACGTTTTGTTGAGATCAAGGGACTTGAGAATATTTTTCACCACTAGATTTAGGATGCTGAATGAGCCTGAAAACAATAGAACAGAGTAGAGAGAATGTAACTGCATGAGGTGTTGCAACAAGGATTTATCTTAAAACTACACATCCATCTCTACGCCCCACCATCAAATGTGCTGTATGAGACAATTTATTTTCATTCATTCCATTTTTACTGTTTCTGAATAAGCACCAAAAGCTTCAAAAGTTCTCTCTGAAAATTTCAGACTCCTACAATTTTACAGGTGAAGTCTTTGCTTGGTCAGATGCACAAAAGAAAAAAGATTTTAATGTAAAGCACGAAAATGAATGCACTACAATGAACTGCCAGAAAGTCCAAGCAATATGGTTTGTCTGAGAAAGAGCTGCCAAGTTATCTATGAGGCCAGAACTCCACAGATCCACTTTTACAATGATGATAAAGGCTTTCTCACATAATAATCTAGTTTCTGAACAAACTAAGAACGCAAAACCACCAACAGTTCAGTCATGGCAAGGAACTGCACGACCCCTGGAGAAAACCAGGAGCTAAGTGGGAAGCAGCTTGATCTGGCCCTCTGCTTTATGCAGGAGACACTTCCATGATGCACTAGCTGCCCCCTTTGCACTGCTGTCTGTGACAAAGGAGCTGTGGCAGTCTCTGCCCTCAGGGGCAGAGGTGGAGCAATGAATCGAGAATCTGGAAGTCTGGATGCTCCCCTAAATAAAGCCTGCACATGAGATGCTTTTTGAAGCAGCACTGAACACAATCTCTAAGTCCTGTAGAAACATTTTGCAATGCAGAATAAAACTCACCAATTGAGATGTGATGTGAACTTCCAAATACAACGTACAGCACTGAGCAGCAGAATGCAGAAAGGAAGCCATTGATTGTTGGTAGAGGTAAGCCAGCCAGCCAAACTCCTAACAGCCCTAGAAAGCAAAAATCTAACAGATTTTGCAGGGTGGATTTTAAAGATTGCTGTTTTTCCCGCAATACAGGAAAATGCTGCTGTTAGCATATATTTATATACTTAAACTAGAGGGAAACTTTATGAAAAAAGGCAGCGTCTTGTCCTCAAAATTACACTATGTAACGTTTGATTACAGAATATGTTTTCTTGCAAGTATGGAAATGAATAAGTTAATGATTTAAGGAATTTGTAAATTAAAATTCCCACATAATTCAGATGACATCTGAAGGAACACGGTAACACACACATTATGAAAAGGATAATGTACAAAAGGAAGCAAGAGTGCTTTTTCTTTTCTCTCTGCCTACCTTGAGGAACCTGAACCAACCCAACGTTTAGGCCTGCATGGAGGTCCTTCAAGATCCACTCTCTGAACTGATAGGAAAAAAGCCAACTCAGGATAGGGAACCTCTTGTATATAATCTTTTTGAAACTTTCCCAGGAGAACCTGAAAAGAATCAGATAAGCTGTGTGTAAAGTTCTTCATGACCACCATGTCTGCAGCCCTCTTGCATGACCTCATACTCTGCAGGAATAGAAGCCACATTGCTACTCTCAGATCTCTGCAGGCACTGAATACTCTGAACCTGCTTTGCCTTCTGCAGATCCAGCTGGTGCACAACACGAGTCCCATACAGGCACCCCTGTGCCTTTGCATTCCTTTCAGATGAATCGCGAATACTTTGTATGCCATTCATATGATACCCTGTCAGCACCAGAGCACACAGCACTGAATGCATCAATTACTTGACCTCATTAACACACTGCAGAATATCAGGAGACAGCATTTTCATACCTGCTATCCTAATCTAGAAGAAAAACATACAGCTGCTACATCTGGAGGGCAAGAAAAAAAAAAAAAGAAAAAAAAAAGAGACAAGCCTATTGCATCTCCAAAAAAAGCAGTCAAATGTTTGCTGTATTATACTTAACATGGCAATGCAAGCAAGACTTGACCTAGATGATTTTTCTGCCTAAATGTCTTTGGATCAATATTTCCAGCAGGTAAACTCTGAGTAGCCCTAAAGCCCTGTGCTCCCCCTTCCCTTTTTCAATCCCCTGACCACAGCGGTGATCTTCTACTCACAAACCAAAGATACACAGCACAGTATCTGCCCAATTCTTCTGGCAACCCTGAATAGTGGCTGGGGAGACTGAGCCCCAATTAGCATTACAGAGTCCAGTCCCTTTCCATCATTTGATTGTCTGAGGTGATTACATGCTGGGATGACCAGTGAATAAAATAGAGAACAGAGAAAATATATGAGATAGGCAAGTAGAAAAGAAACAGAGAAAAGAGTATGAGGAAGCTAGAAAGTCTTAAATGGGGAATTGAGGGAGGGCATAAAGATTTTCTGATAAAGCAGCAAGTGCAGTGATAAAGATCCCAATAATATTAGCCATGACTTTAAAACAAAATTCTCCCGTTGACCTCTGCACAAGACTTATTTCATTGCATCAGGAATTTGTGAGTGGCAGTCTTAACTCTAGATCACATATCATAATTATACACAATTCAAGCCTTTCTGTTAATTTTGTTCCTCTGACTCCAATCTCCTTTAGCACCAGAAAAAAAAACCCTAATGTACAGTCCAAAGGATCTCACAATTGCAGAAATTAATCAACAGTGAGTCTTCAAAGTGAAATGAAAAACTAGAACGCACAGTAGTAACTCAAACTCTAGCTCCACTTGCCTTCACTTATTACCAGGAAATTCCTTCGCAACAGTGCCAGTAAAACAGGATCCATGGTTTTAGGCTGTAGTCACACTCATTGCTGAGCTGGTGTTAAGAGCTAGTTACACAAAAGAGAGAGGTCTGGCTCTTCTGTGCTGCTTTTCCTTCTGTGTCCTGTCCCATTTGGCAGCAGCAAGCTGTTAGATTAGTTCACCACACCTTGTGGAACCTCACCCATAGCTAGACTTGAGTCTCAAGGCATATCACTGTCCCAAAATAACAGTCTGAGTTTCAGCATACCTTCAGAATACATGCTGAAACAAAGCTTAGAGAAATGATGAATCAGATTTTTTAATTTACTTTTCTTATGAGGACTTTGTAGTGTAGGCTCAGCCATAACCACTGGCAGTCCACTCCACGTCCAAAGAGATTCATTTGGAAAACCAAAAGCATTCATGGTCAAACAAAACTAAAAGGGAAGCTGATGAAAGGGATTCATATTTTTGATGATATTTCCCTTGCTGGAAGAACACCAGGAATTTTCCTAAGTCATCAACAAAGACTGCCTTCTCCTGAGCCTGCAGGGCTCCTCTGGCAGAAGATATGCTTCTGTCCCTAGGATAATGCCCAAAAGAGAATTTTGGCAGATGGGAAAATCAGGCTGTGGAAACATTAATACTGTATAGGCTGTACTATTTGCATCACCCATTCTCCTCAGAGAATGCAGAACATAGCTCCAAAATAATGCAAAAGCAATTCAGCCAATCTTATCCATACCATTATGCAACTTTCCATGTCCCCAGCTAAGAAGGAACAGAAAACAGCTCTTGAAATTTAAGAAACACAAGTAACAAAAGGCAGAAATCAGAAAAAATGCAAGTGAAAGCTTGTGTCTGACAGCTGGACTGAGGGAAGCACTGGAGGGGCTGCAAATATTAACAACTTCTCCTTAAAATGTATATATCCCTCACACTATCTTGAAGTGAACAAACACTCCTACAGATTGCTAAACTGGGGGCTAGTGGAGTGCTGTTCTTGTATACTTCACTGCAAGTTTCTCCAACTGGTTGTTCTGCTTCAGTTATCAATCAATACAATTCAGCACTTTAATTACAAGCTGCAGGAAGATATTAGCATCTTTCCAGATTTGGGCTGGAAGAGCCTCCTTAGTTTGTTTTTTTTTTACACCTGTCAAATTCCCAGCACACAGCTCACCTGCAACGCAGCTGTGTCTTCTTTTCAGCAATTTGTGGCTCTCCACCAAAGGTGGAAGGTAGGCTTCTTTCCAAGAATGCTTGTACGTGTTCCTCAGTCCACATTTCTCTTTGGACTCTGTAAAATGCCGGTTGCTGCCTGGTACGGACTGTATCATTGTCTAGTTCCATATTTTCTTTTTGATGAGGAATATGAAATACTGGAGACAACAGTAGACAAGGTGACTGAAATACCTATTAAAACCAAAACCAATAACAAGCATATGACATATGTCCACCCCAGCATAGCTCCTGTGAAGCCAACAGCTACAGCAAGGATAAGCAAGGCTCTGCAGACTAAAATCCTTGGAAGGATGCTGCTGTTAGGATCGAGCAAACTGCCAGAACATTGAGTCCTTCTGGAATTTGTCTTGATTCTGCTCTGTAGGAAAGACCAGCATGGATGCCCTCCATCATGGGATCCCCAAAGTGGGTCTGTGTTAAAGGAAGAAAATACATTGCGTCTCCATAAACCTATCACAACTGAGAAACAGTTTGAACTCTCCTTGTCCACAGTTTGCAGTAAAAAATTGGTATCTGATACCATTCAGATTTTTAAATGCCCCAAAACTTTCACTCACATTCCTCAGCATTTAAACATCAGGAAGATCTGAATTCAACCACTACTGCTCTGATTAGGTAAGATGTAAGCTCCTGAAGTGATTATTGAGTTAGAAGTCCAGTGAAAAAACAGATATAAACTGAAGTTCTCATACTGACAGCTGAGGCAGAAAAAAAATTCAAATCCAGAGTTATCAACTGAAAGTACATTACATAGGAAAGATTACATAGGAAAAAGGCTGTGCCATGTGGAAAGGCAGTTTTGACAGAAAAAAAAAGAAGGAAAATGAGAAGCATAAAAAGGCAGTAAGTGAGCAGAAAGTCTAGTCAAAATGTAATGTAAGTACCAAAACCTGGGGGAAAAAAAAAAAAGTTTTCTCCTCATTTTTTGTTTCCTGAATTGTCAAGATCTGATTGTACAGATCTGGTGTTTTGCACCTCTGAGATATGCTGCTTCTGACAGAGCAACAGGGACCCCATCACCCTGGAGGCATTCCCACCAACACACACACCCCAGCCACTCCAAAGCACAGCCAACAGCAGGCACGCCTCAGGCACGCTCTATTCCTATGGCACGTTTTCTCCCTCTTCTTAAAAAGGAGATACACAAAGGTCTTCCAGAAAAGTTTAAGAGACATTTTGTTCATTAGCTCTGCATGCTCAGTACAAGTTGCTGTTTGAGCACAATCCCTTTTTTTCAAGGTAAAGTAACACAACAAAGAAAGCTAAAAAGAAGCTCGAGTTTGCAAACTGAAGTCCAGGCAGACAGGGATACAGCAGCACCAGCACAGCTCCCTGCACCTCCACAGTCCTGGAGACCCCCAGGGAACGGAGCACTCCAGTAAACCGTCTTAGGCTCACAGGAGCAGCACTGCGGGCACCTGACAACACCTCGGCTTCGCTGAAGGCCCTGGTCAGCACGGCCTGCTGCCTTAGGTCAGCGTTCTCATAGATTTTCATATTTTGCCTAAAGCACGCCTTTGAGGAGACAAAAGCCGACCTCAGGAAAACGCCACACACGGGCTGTGCCGCCTTAATTTTAGCCGGCGTGGGCAGAAACACCTCACAGCATCGCACTCTTCGTAACACCGAACGCAGCCACCACGCAGCCCGCCTTTCCCCGCTCTCGCGAGAGCTTCCCCGCCCCCACTCCGCATCGCCTCCATATTGGGGCATCTCTGCCTGCGGCGCCTCAACTCTCGCGAGAGCGGCCGGACCGAACCAGAGGGTCTCGGCGGGGAGGCGGTGCGGTCGGCCCGGTCCAGCCCGAGCTGCGCCGCTGGGGGGCGGGTCGGGGCCTCGTCTTTCCCGTCCTACCTGCGGCGGAGTGGCTCCCCGCGGCCCTCCCTATCGGCCGGCCCCTCTCTCACCGCCCGGGGCCGGCCCGCCCCTCGCAGCGCGGAGGAGGAGGGAGAGAGCTAGGCGTGTGTGCGGGAAGGGGGAGGCGGCGGAGTGAGGGCGGCTGAGAGCAGAGGAAAGGAAAGGAGAGGGGAAGGAGCAACCGCCCCGCGCGAGGCTCGGCCCCGGGCGGCGTGAGGCGGGGAGGGCGCGGGTGGGGCGGCGACCAACGGTCGGTGTTAGGAGACGGCGGTGTGAAGAGGCGGTGTGGGAGGAGCGAGGCGGGGAGAAGGAAGGAAGGAAGGAAGGCGGACGCTGCGCTGCTGCTGGAGGCGCTGCCGCAGCCGCGGGCACAGCCACCCCCTCCCGCCGGGCCGGGCGGGGTGGGCTCCGCAGCCGAGATGTCTCAGGAGCGGCCCAAGTTTTACCGCCAGGAGCTCAACAAGACGGTGTGGGAGGTGCCCGAGCGCTACCAAAACCTCTCCCCGGTCGGGTCCGGGGCCTACGGCTCCGTCTGGTGAGTGGCGGCTCCGGGCCGGGTTCTGCCCTGGGCGCCGCTCCGCGCCGCTCCCCACAGCGCCGGGCGTTGCAGCGCACGACAGGTGGCACCGGGACATTTTTACAGGGGAAGATAATCGCGTCCCAGCCCCCAGCGTGATCTCATTTGGGCATATTTCGCAGTACCTTCTCGCAGTTGGGTGGTGGGGGTGGAGAGGATGCGGGCTGGCAAGGCCCCGAGCTCCGCACAGCTCTGCTGCTGTCCCGGTTTCCTTCTGGACCCGAGGACGGATCGTGAGCCGGGAGCTGCAGAGAGCTGCCGCGTCCCCTGACAGGCGCTGCAAAAACCATTTTAGCAGTGGCAGCGCGTCTCTGGTGCACTGCCTGCAGGAGCAAAGTCTGGGGTCGGCGTGCAGGAATAAGGAGAGCTCGGAGTTGGACTCGGTTTTTAACGCTTGCCTCATAGCAACGCTCTGCAAAATATATTGGATCGTGAAATGCAGATCAGATGGGCTGCTGACATCGTTTAATCTTAAAGACGAGGTTGTGTCCGGATCGCGTTGACGTTCTGACTCAAGCGATCGCGTAGCAGAGGTGAACAAAGCAGCGCAGGCTGATGACCGTTCTGGTTTTTGCTCTGTCAGTGCGATCGGAGTTCTCACACGGGTGTGCAATGACTGTACGTCTGTGCTGCTGCTGTCTTGGAGCAGGCGTGCCTATTTCTTTCATTAACGTAACATACAAATTTGTATCATGACTGTCATCTGTATTTTGAGGAGTAATGCATGCTGACCTCTGTCAGTAGAAAAAGGAGTTGCTTTGCATGCGATGCAGTTTTAAAAAAAGTTCTCTCCTGCTCTCGGGAAGCTCTGCTGAAATAATACACGTTTCTTAAAACTCTAGTGTCCCAACTATGTAAATGCTTGTATGTCGTAGAAGACAGAGCCTAACAGATTACAGTGCCAAGGGCGACCAATATATGTTCTGATTTATTTATTTTTTAGTAATTGAAGGATTTCTTTCTGGTGAAAGAAGGGCTCAGTGCCCCAGCTGATAAATACTCCTTTAGCTGCTGTGGTTACGTAACTCCCTCGGTGCAATAGGAAGTAGATTTTCTCCATGTCTGCTGTATTCAGGCCAGCCCTTCATGGTGCATGCAGCCCTTTCCTCTTCTGTTCTCCCCCTCCCCGTGGTCTGTTGTGTACGTAATGCTTCCAATGTTTGTTTTCACAACCAATTACTGAAGAGTTGGCATCACGAATTTCCTGTCGTGCTGCCTCCGAACTTTCAAAGATTGTGCAACTGTGTTTGGCCTGGATTGAAGCAGTTTCAGATGTGTTGCACATGGATCTTAGCACAGTCTTTTTCACAATTTTCTTTGTGTTCTACCAAAAATGTGTTTCAGCCAGACAAGTTGTAGAGAAAAGCATTACCTGTGCGTATATAATTAACTTTGTAATATAAAGCTCCAAACGGTGATGCAGTGTTGATGACGTTCCTAGAATGGCTGGTTCCACTCTGTTCCTCTAGAGTTTCTTCCCTGTTCCTTATCCTACTCTGAGAAAATGTACCTTTCAGGCTTGAGTTTGGAGAGCCCTCTGTTTTGGGATAGCAAACCGTGGGGCTTAAACCAGCCTTCAATGGAGTGCTTAAATGCACTCCGGTGTCTGTCTGCAGCACTGTTAGGTTAGAATATAATGAGGTACTTTATTTAGTTGTCAGGATGAGAGATTTAAAAAGGAAGAGTTTCTAGAAAGTGGAGGAAAAAATAGTAAAAGAATTAAGCCTGCAAATGAATCAATTAGACTGTGCAGTGTCTGCTGCAGGCTCCTTTAAATGTCTAACTAACTTGGAACACCATGATAGAAAATCCTGACTTTATTTTTTGCAGTCAGTGGATGGAGAATGGTTTTCTATGCAGGCAGCCAAAGCATGTGTCCTTAGTGTTAGAGTGAGAGTTCTCGTGTCTTCTGGAGTGCTGGAAGAAGGATATTTAAACAGCCAGCTTGGGTATTTTTCAGGGCCCGTATTTAAAAACTGAAAATATGTGGGGATTGAGGTAGGGCTTCGGTGCCAAAACTTTGAGAAACGTCAGTATGTACCGATAGATCGTTCATCACTAAGCCATGTTAACAATTGTGGTGACATCTGTTGTCTGAAGTGATATTTCAATTCGTTCTTGCTGGAGTTTTGTATATTCATGCAAGTCTTCTGCATTACAAGGATTCTGTCAAAATCGGTAACAAGGTCTGCACTAAAACATGTGTGGGTTACTGAAATATCAGTCTTGCATACTTCATATAAGGGAGAGGTCGATGCAGCATCTTGCATGGGAGCTGCTGGGCCGCCTGGGATGGGTGTGCGGTGAGCTGTGGTTCAGCAGGAGGATGGCTGCTGTTGGTGTCTGCAGGCAGTGTTAGTTCAGCCCCTTGTAAGCAAAGAGGTGCTCTGAAGCTTGTTGCCATCAGCTTATAAAATGTGAAGGCAAATTTGGTGTGCTCCTTGCAGCTTATTTTATTGATTTTTATTTTTTTCTCCAACAGCTATTGCTGTACAACAGTGTTTTTGCTTTAATTGCTTTGCAGTCTCTGTTCTTTCCTTTGGAAAGTAAACTGCTAAGTCTTACTCGTGCTCAGAATCTTGCATAAGGGTCCTTCAGCTTCTCCTGTTTGCAGGCTGTCAGGCTACAGAGCTGTTACACGACTGAGAGGTCTGCTCCTCTCCTCCATAGTTGTACCAACACTGACTAAATGTCCTGGGAGTGACGAAGGTACTGAGATGATCCCCATATTTATAAACTAGCAGAAAAATGCAGTGGGTTTAAGACATATTGAACCATCACTGAGGAAATGAAATAACCCTAAATATCACCTATTTAGCAGCAGTTCCTCTGTGTACGTTTTTTTGTGCAGTGTGTCTTTAGGCTTAGTAATCCCTTATCAAGATGTGCAATGCCTCTGTACACAGGATAGGACCAGCTTCTCCAACCAGGTGTGCGGGGAACAAAATGACTTGCAGCACTGTGAGTGGGACGGAGCAGCCACACAGGTGTCAGAACATGGGAGAGGAAGGAAGGTTGGCCAGCAGTGGGCATGCACAGAAAAGCAGGAAGCAGGGCTCAGGAAGG